ATATAATATAATATAATATAAATATTATTATACTTTTCACATATATTATTTTTAAATGTTTTATATTATAAAACTGGCATGTGTACATGGAAAAAAAAAGTTAGTTTTATCTACTTTGTGGCTAGTGTTTTGTACCATTTCATATTCATAAATAATGACCGACAAAGATATCATGTCCACGCTTGGAAGAGAAAGTATATGTATATTTTTTTATTGAGGTATTTTCAATTTAAACTTAATACAATTTTAATTTATTTTTTATTTAATACGTAAATTATTATTTTTAAGGACACAAATTAATTAAACCTAATTTTATTTGGTACAACTAGAAACGTACGTGTGTAGTTGTGATGGTGTTTCTGTCTGATAAAAAAAAACCCAAAAACGTGTAGTATAAAATATCTTAGGAGTTCGTTTATTGCCCAGAATTCATCCAGAATTTGGACTCTCGTTAGCTACTTTGACCAGGAATGTTTGAGAAGACTAGCACTGTGAGAGTTATCACAAACAATGCAATCCCAGACAAAAGCATGAAAGCTCTGTGGCAGAAATATGTAGTTGATTTTTAGTTTTTAGACGGAAATTAGATGTTGACTCACTAGTTTTGCTAATTAGGGCATTTAGAATATTGACTGAAGAATTAATAAAAATATTAAATTGTATTAAAAATTATTAATTATTTTTTCTACATTTTAATATTTTTAAAGGACTAGTTATTATTTGTTTAGACTTAATTATTACTTATAAATTTTTTTATTAATTATAAATTTTAAATTTATATATCATTAATTATTTATAAAAAATAATAATATTTTTAACTCAAAAAAGAAATTACTTTTAGATATTTTTTAAGTTGTGTATTTTTTATTAAAATTTTATTTTTTAGAAAAATACATGACAAAATTATATATAATAATTTCTTATTAAAATTATACAATTCAATGTATTGATATTATTAAACGTTATAATATTTTATTATTTTTTATCATTTGTTGCTTTGTACAAGTTAAAAAAAAAACGACAACTGAAGTTTTCAGTTAAACATCGGCATCAATTTTACTTTTCCACATTCTCTTCAAAAATTTAACAAAATAGGAAATTATTCATTATTCATGAGTTTTAAGGGAATTAAATCTGTTGTCACGTTTTCATTTCTATCTATCCAATGAATAATAATAATAATAATAATAATAATAATAATAATAATAATAACCTAGTAAAATAAATATTTTAAAAGTGTATTTTTTTAAAACATATAATAATAATGAGTTGTTATTATATGATATATTAAAAATATAAATTGCCTTTTATTATTGTTTGCATTAATTAACGGCAATAAAACATAAATATACGATTTCATGTAAATTACTCATGTCTCAAACAACTAACTCAATTCTAATGATTTATCTCATTTACAAAACATGATTCATGTGAGAGAAAAAACTTCATACTAAATTTTTGTATTAACTTCTTAAAGAAAAAAATTGTTATTAGTTCTACTATAATATATATGAATTTGGTTCTCCCTTTATATTTTTTAAATAAATTAATTAATTAAATAAATAGATTAGGTTTGAGCTTGAAAAAAAATCTATTAAGCCTATTAGAATGACTTATTTAAAATTTATAATAATATATTAAATAATTTTATATAAATATTATAATATAATAATATATTAAATAAATTAAATTTTAAAATAATAAAATCTTAAATTATAAACTCTAATATTTCTTGTTAAAGTTAAAGAAAGAGCCTTATTTATTGGAGTATTTTATACGCATAACATTAATTTATACTGTCTTGTTTTGATCACGTCTATGTTGTTTGAAAGTGATAAATAGAAATATATAATTTTATTATACATATTCAAGATGTTAGATATTTTTTTAATAGTTTTTATGACTTTTAAAAAGATATATCTATCTAGATAGTTTAATAACCTATTTACAAGAAAGTTTAATGATTTATTGAATATCTCAATACAAAATAAGTCGTTAAAAAGGCTAACAAATTAAATTAGATTTTTAAAAAAGCAGATTAGACTTAATAAAAATCTATAATAAGTAATAGGTCAGACTCAAACTTTAAAATTATTAAAAAAGTTAAAACTTATTTATACAAAGTCTAATTTAATGTAACCTATTTTCATCTCTAGTTGAGATATAAAATTTACAAATGTCATGCAAAAGGAGCGTTGGTAACTTTGTATTTATACATAGATAATGATATATCTATTAATTAATGCAGATGATTAGCCAAGTACTGAAATGCAAATAAATCACTTTTATACAGTTACTGGAGTAATATATAAGAACAGATACCATACTTTTATTTACTTAGAAGATATATTCTATGCATGTAATTTGAAGTGGACCAAAGATGCTCAGCAAGCACTGAAAATTCGTTACTCCTTTTGTCTTTCCCTTTTGTTTTCTATATGGGATGCGGTTATGCGAAGTCAAGAGACTATGCGCCTTTGCTAACGGTGATTTTGACCATACTTGCACTTGTTGATTCATAAATGGCACATTTCCTTTATCATTTTTATGGCAGTATGTTGTAAAAAAATATTCCCTGCAAACAATTTTTATAAGTTTTCTTAATTAATACAAAACTTTTTAAATAATAAAAACTTAAAAACACAGTACTAGGAGAGTTTTAAACAAAACTCTCTTTCATTTCAAAAATCAATTATCAAAACAAAACCTTACACACCAGACTGATTATAAGCATTTTAAAGTGGGGAAGTAAAGGTTAAAAGGGAGGTTGAGAAATGAACCAAAACAAAAGCGCTTAAGAAGGAAAGATGTACTATTTTATGATGCGGGTCCGCTAAATTTAATCTTTTAAATATGAGGTGGTGAGTGGGAGTATAAAGGCAAACTGTGTTATTTATTGGTTGGAATCATGCGGAATGAAGACAATGAGGCCATTGCCGCCACCATCTTATAACCCTTTCACCCCTTTTGTCTCTTTTTCAAGATTCTCCATAAACACTTGGCATAAGAATATATCGGGTAATCAATATTTGAGTAGTTACTCACACAATCAATGCACCTGTAAATTAATTAATTGAATTGATTTAACATGTAGAATCACTTGTCATTTTTTATAGAAATTATCACTGCATGCGTAATATATTCTTTAACAGAAATTTTACGTGACAGTTTTAGCATACCAAGTTGAGTTTGATCAATTCCCCTTCTAAACTCTTTTCACTTATCCATCACTCCGTTATGTACATTCAATTTCATCAAAATCATATGTTCTAATAGTTATTGATTCGGGCTTTGAGGTTCGCTTCTCATCCGCTCTATCTTAAATGAACCGTCCCATTCCGATATTCCAATCATCAATAGTACAATATAGCTAGCTTTAATCTAGGGAATAACGGCAAAGCTTCAGACTCATGTCCATTCGTAGGGTGTCTTTAAAATATTAATTTAAAATTATATTTAAATAATAAAAGTAATATGATTAATAATTTTTTAAAATTTTTAACTCTTTAGTCGATACTCTGATTAGCATTCTTATAAATAAATAAATAATTGGTCGATATCCTGCACAAGTATTCAGAAACATGGCGCAAGATTAATACCAAAACGCCACTCTTCTGCGGCAACAATGGATTGGACCCCACGGATCACAAATTATCATGTTTGATGCAGGTGCACCGCAAAATATCGGTACGGAAGATTCAGAATGGGAACAAAGAAGGCGCTGAACAACCCTAGTAAAAAATGTGATAAATAATGTAATAAAAAATACGTATAAAAATATAATATTAAAAAAATAATTTATTTTTAAATGCATTTTTATCATTAATTAAAATATATGAAACATAACAAAATAGTGTAAATTATATTTATTTATTTAATAAACACACAAAATTTCATACATCTTAATAAATTTGAATAATATTGAGAAATTCACAATATCCTCATTCCTCAAGGATCATATCAGACAAAGCACGCATATGCTCCAGTAATTTTGTATGGGTTTTTGTTTACTAATAATTTTTAATTTATAAAATTACTTATTTAATATTTATTTTTATTATCATATCTATTATTTTCTTTTCTTTTGATGACGTCACTCTAAATATCTATTTTTTAAGAAATGTCTACTAAACATTTTCTATTTACTTATCACCGATACATCCATCAAATGTTGCTTGTTAACGCTGTCATCGTAAATATAGCGGTCATCTTGGTTGAATAATCAATCTATAAAGTGCTGATAGTATTTCTTGACAGAAAAATTGCCATTTACACTCAAAATCTTTGTCATACTTCATCTCGTTAAACTAAGCAAAATCTTAATCAAATCCCAACTATTTTTAAATAACAATGTTAAAAGATTTACTTTCAACTTGTTAAAAAAAGTTCTCCTGACAGAAGTCTTAAAAACACAATAAGAATGTTTTCGCGACGTGTTTTATTAACATTTTTCTCATTTGACAGATTTTTAGCAGGCACACCCTTGTTAGTAGGCCTCTCGGGTAACAAGAACGAGCATACTATTACCTGTTGAAGTTAATTAATTTGTTTCAGTTAGCCCCCATAACATTAGCCAACAATGTAGGCATCGTACAAGCTGAGCGTCATCATTCTATTTATTTCATGAATGACTGTCAAGTATTAGGGTGAAGGTAACACGTTATATCTTTCATAGACATACATAAACTGTCAAGTAAAGCTTTTTACTATGGAAAATTATTCTTTACACCCACTTTTTAGTGCAAAGTGAGTGAAAGGAAGACAGAGATATCAAGAGAAAAGAAAAGGAAGACATGTGATTGGTGATGTAAGAGAAGAAAGAAGTGGGTGAAAAATAGATTAAGATAAAGTGAGTGTAAAGAAATATAAGAGTTGTTTTACTGTACCATTGACACGTCCCTAGAGAGGAAAAAAAAAGTGGCGGAATGGCATGTAGTGTCATGGGAGGCAAGTAAGTGGTGAAGTTTCTCTATATTAGATTCTCTGGTGGCCCTATAACTCTAATGGGTGGCGGCGGCCATGGCTGGCGGCGGCGAAGAAACAACGGAAGTAATACCGGCGTGAACATGCGTATCCTCATAGAGAAACTTGTGAAGGATCCTACGGGTCTTGGCCATAACGTGATTCTCCCAAGCCTCCTCTGCCTCCTCGGGAGTACTCTTGAGGAAGACCTCGGTGGCGTCAAGGCGGTGCATATTCCATTTCCACAAGGAGTGAAGGCGATGAATCTTCTGGAGCTGTCGGGTGGCAAGCTTGCAGTTGTTGGCTTTGATGGCACGAATGGCAGCCTCGAGGAGCCTCTTCTTGGTCCCGTCATCGGCTTGATCGGCTTCGGCTTGAAAAAAGTGATGAAATTCAGGGACCCCAATGGCTTTTCGTATCCCTCTAGTGTAGTCTTCATCGGATGGGTCGAAAAAGGGACGAACCTCGTCCACCTGGCCACCCTGAATCATGCGGTCGACACGTGCGGAAAGAGATGAATGGAGAACTGGGAGGGAGACATCGACCCAGAGGAAGCAGCACTGGTACCTGAACCCAAACTCAGGGTGGTGGTTGACCAACGCCTCAATGAAGGAGTTGGACCCACCCGCAATGATGGGTAAAGCGTCCCTCTTCGAGATTGAACCAATGGCCAGAGTGGCGTGGTGACAAAAGTCGTTGGCACTGAAATTGGAGTGAGGATGGACCGTGCCTAAGAGATGGTGTGGGACCCCGCGACACTCTTCCTCGGTAACTTTGTTGGTGGTGATGTCAAGACCCTCGTACACTTGCATTTTGTCCGAATTCACTATCTCTGCTGGTGGCAATTGTGTGGCCACGTCTATTGCCAGCTTCGACTTCCCCGTCCCCGTCGCCCCCATGATCACCACCGCCTTCTCCTTCCGGTTCCGGTGGTGGAACAACGACAAGGACTTCCTCGCTTCCAAATTTATCACTAGGGGCTTGCACGAAGCTGATACCGATAACATGTTCATTTTCTTTTTACTCCACCTGCCAATAAGTTGACCAAACATTTTTTTAATTTTATTCCCTTATGTCATCATTTGCACTAGCAAAACCAGCTCATATACATATGCCTATTTTATTTATTTATTTACTTATTTATTTCTCCCAATCGCCAATGGAAAACTGGAAAGAATCTAGCCAGGGGGAGAGAGATAAAAAAAAAATTAAAATTGAGCTTAATCTGCAAGCAAATGGAGGAAATAATACAGAGAGTTTAATATCCTTCAACAACACATGGATTTTGAAGCAGGGGACAAGCTTGTCTATATATGTTTTTGTCCATGTAAAGAAAGCACAGTGACAACGAAATTTTTTTAACAATTCCCATGGACTTCCATATTCATTCATTCATTCATATATGCGCGTGGACGTACCTCTAATGTCAAACACTCGGCGAGCTGTGGAATATTTGCAAAGTAGGTTTGTAGCTATTGCTAGCAAGTGATGCTTTGTTGTCACACTTACACGATCGGGAAACTCAAGATTATTCAATTAGAGGAGATGAGGTGTGGAGTGGTTGAGGGAAATTAAGAGTATTTTTGTTGAATATGATATGGAGGATTTGGCAGAAAGGAAAGGAACTTTATTTGAATACAAGCTCACTGCAAATTAGTGTTTGCTGGGGAACAGATGAGGATTTCTGACCGGAGCTTGTGGCATGGCAGATGCACCTTACCCTGCTATTTATACCAAAATAGAACTTGTGACCCACCTTATATGCCAATCATATAATACACCTTTTTATTTTCATAAACTTTTTTAATTCAAGCATACAAATTTTAATTTTTTTAAAATGATTAATATACTATTTAAAAAAATATACTATAATATTTTAAATTTATCTTTAATTAAATTTGGTTTTATTGATACAGTAATTATTAAAAAAAATTAAGTATTAATTAATAAAAATAAATATATAAAAAGATAATAAATATTTATATTGCTTTATAAAAGTCTTATATTAATAATCAACAAAAAAAAATTATAAAAACTACAAAAGAGAGTATAATCTTTTCAATAAAATATATTTCCATAATCTTAATGTTTTAAAAACTATTAATCTTTGACCATTCATTAAAATATACTCTTTTACAAGTAAAAAAATATATTCCATAACTGTTACTCTTACGAAATAACAATAAGAAGATTTTTCTTAATTATGTTTTACTATAAAATTAAACTCATTCAATATTAAAATTATATATTTCTAACATTTCTTTTAAAGTTTGTTAACAGCAATTTCTTAAAAATTCTCTATGCGTGTCGAGTTATAAAAAAAAAACAGCAATTTTGATCTACGGATTAAATTGCTTTTTAGTCTGTAGTAATTTTTAATCTACATATTAAAAGTATTAATTTATAATTAAAAATAATTAATATTGTGTAGGTTTTTTTTTAAACGCAACATAATTTTTTTAAAAAAAATAGAAAGGATAATGTTATGAAACGCAACATGTATAGTCAAAATATTAAAACAAAGTTTTGTCTAATAAATGTTTAAAACAAAAATGGGTTTTCTATTTGAATTGATTCATTAAAAACCCTACGACACTTGTTATTTTTTATTTTTTATTTTACCGAATCAACCTTAACCGATTCATTACACTTTTTAAAGAGTAAAAAAAAAAAAAATACCAATGTTCTACTCGATGATGTGTTTCTTATCCAGTTAGAAATTTATTATAGTAAAAATAAAATGATTACAGTAAAAATTTTAAATTGATGGGAAAAAAAACTACCATGCTTCAAGTAGATAGTAGACAATGAAAATACGTTATCTTGTCAAAAATTATTTTAACACAACATATAAATAGAAAAATAAATTTAAAATTTAGAGTTTAAATTTAAAAAAATGTGGAGCGGTTAGTTTATTTATATAAATAATTAATCATATATTATTTGAAGATGGTTAATATAATTAGTCATTAAATATTTTTTCAGTAATATATTAAACAAGATTTAAAATTAAAAAATAAATGAAATAATTTAGAAATTCAAAAGCCTGTATCACAGCACAAGTGTATAGAGATAGATAACATTAAAAAAATATATAAGAAGGTATTTATGTACAGTGACTCGTGTTTTTGGTAAAGTTTATTTATATTTTCTCTAAAGTAACGAGTAATATTTCTCTCAACTAAATTACTTTAAAAAAAAAATACACTTAAATTTATCGATTTATGATACGACCGATGCCTTGGGTTCTGGTTTGATTACAATATCAAACTCGAGATTTTACCCTTCACACAGACACACGCATATGGAGTCAACCGCATAAATCGCAATATACCATTGTCTCGTCGCTTCGGTAATATGCACGAATAATTATATTATGCGTAATTTTAATTTATTAGGTTTTTCATGTTTTTTCCAAAAACATCCAAGACTATATTTTGTTTTTCTCAGTTTACGAAAATTAAAGATATAATTAAAAATGTTTTTGATGTAAACTAAAAATAAAAAATACCATGCATGTAGATGTTAATGATTGTTTTAACATGCTAAGTTAAAACTATTCAGTTGAGTTTGACTATTCATTTTTCTTTTATTGATATATAAAAGCTAACAATGTAATAAACTTATATTTTAGTCTTGTAAATAAAAAATATATATAGAGTAAATGATCAAATCAACAAATGGACGTGTACGGTTTATATCTCCCAAATTGAATCCTCGTACGGCAGCACACCAGTTCCGAACTCCTCGAACTTACCAAAGGACGAAAAGGTGAATACAATTCGTACCATTGTATCTGTGCCTTTGTAATTTTTTCTTTTTGAGGGTCTTTCTCCTTCCTCTTCTATTCTTTCTGTTGAGGAATATATCTTAAGATGTGACACACTCATGATTGAATTCATGTAACGGCATTGATCCAAAGTTACCTTGATTTGAGCGGAAAATGCAATTCTTGACAGCAAAGTGAAATGATAACATGTCGTCACAGTTAAGTTTCCATTCAATAATACCCTGTCCATTGTAAAAGATAAACAATATTTCAATTCCAATTGTTATTCACTTCAATTGTTAGCTTTAGCGAAAATATAATTATCTATTTAATAGAAGTTTATTTTATTTTTTTCATAATTTTCTCATTTTAAATAATTATTTGATTTTATTTCTCAAACAAAGTAAATAATTTATTTAAATAAAACGTACAGCTCAATTCTATTTTAATATTTGTTTAATTATTACTTTAATCATTATTATTAGTACACGTCAACAGATAATATTTCAGATGACACATTAAATATTAACTTAATAATCAAATTAATATTAGAAGTAATAGGGATAAACGAAAGTTTAGGAGAAATGAATATAATAACTTTATAGAAGAGACCACAAGTTTAAATGTAAAGTTTAATTTAATTATCATATTTAAGAATCACGTATTATCTTTTGAGGTGTAACATATCTCAATATATTAAATTAAAATTAATTTTGTTATATAAGTAATTTTAATAATTTTTATTAATGTTGACTAGTCATAAAAAGTAGTGCAAAATGTATTCAAACAAATTAAAAATTAAAAAAGAGTGTTATTAAAATAAAAAAGCTAGAGACTATACAAAGTAGTGACTTATTTTTTAAAAATCGTGGCAAATCACTTTGAATGCCAAAAGCTGCAAAGTGACGGGAGGCATGGGCGTATTATTCACACATCGAAAAGAATTACATGTAAAAAGGTAAATATTTATTTTAAAATATGATTCATTATGAGATGATTAATTATTTAAAAACAATGAATGATAAATAGAATAATAAAAGAGTATATTACTTAAATTAATATGGAATTATCCACAGGTTTCCACGTGTAGCTCCCTAGTTTATTTCATTCCATCGATCGAAGCGTGCATCTATTCTGTCCTATGGTTGAGGTTAGGTCAGTTTGTTAGGTACTGAGTTAATATGTTTTGGCTCTTCGTAGAGATTATTAACTTTCATTTGCTGCCACGGTAGGCCTCAATTACGAAAAATTAGGAGATAACGATTACAAACCTGTTGCCACAGGCTCAAACTGGAGCAATTTTTGCTAAGGTTTCACCGGTTTATTGTCTTTAAGAGGTAGATTATCCAAGTTATGCCTATTATTATTTAGTTCGCCTCCTTTTAATGTTGAGTACGTTTTCTGTAGTTGTAGTAAAATATGCATGGACACTAGAAATATCAGTGTTCAAAACACAACTAATACAATTAATTCAGAATATATTTATAATTATACAACTTATAATCTTTTATTCGGGCAACATGTATTCAATCTCAAATATTTGTACTAAAATTGTTACGCAAAGACTATGTATTGAAGACAACAAATAATTTAGTAATGCTTTAAAGAAATATAAACTCTTGTTTTTTTAATTTCCGTTTATTGTAAGAATTCAATTTGTTTGTGTGGAAAAGTAAAGAATTTTCGTGCATTATATGTAAACTAGACAATTAGAAGGTCCTTCTCGAAGATATCCTCTAGAGCTACACTAATATATTGATAAAGGCTCGAATTAAGTATCTTGTCAGATATTGTTGTTTGGTAAATTCTCCATTCACTGCTCTAGTTAATTATTAATTACCAGAGTTTAAAAATAAAAAGTTTACTCCACAAAAAGAAACAATACAATAAGATAAGTTCACAATTAATAAATAGTAAGTTGCTCTCTAGATTTTAAGGATTCATAATATTAAACTGTTTTCAGTGACCCACAAATTTCTTTTTTTTTTAAAAAAATGCTAAGGGTGATGTACGAAGAAGCTTCAATTTTAGAGATTATTTTTTCTTGATAAGAGTTAATTTGTCTTTGTTATCTTAAAATAAAGCACCTACATTATATTACTAACAAATTTGGGTGGGGAATTTTTTTATTTTAAAAAAGAAGTGACCAAAAGAATTTCCTTTTTGTTGGTGGTGTAGAGGAAGCTTTGTGATATTAAATGGATTAGTCTGAAATTATTGCATTGTTTATTAATTTAAAATAAA